ACGAAAAAATACGTACTTTAAATAGTCGAAATTTTGAACTTTAAACCCAAATATCTCGAAAACTATAAGTTTCCCGAGGCTATATCTGTATATATTCTTGACTTGGAGGATCTCCTCTATCCGACCATATCCATTTTATCCCCGAAAGCCTGGGACGGTATTCTAAAGCCGACTCACAATTTTTAGGTGTACGGGTATATATACGTACATTGCTTACTTTGTCTGTGGTAGATGATAATGTTTGGATATGTTTTTATAAGCTTGTCGATTTTCGTTTGTTAAAAGCTCACTCTTCATTATTTGTTCGTAAATTCTTAGCCAAAAACAATGCCTCAGCCTAATATTCACCAGACAAAAATAATATTCCAAAAATAAAAAGAACTTTAAAAGATCGTCGTTTTACAAGATAGATGAAAACTGCTGAAAGTGCTAACGGATACCCCCAAAATCGAGTTTGAGAAGTGTTGGTGCTGCGCGCAAATTTACTTCCCTGGATGTCATTGGCCAACATACTGGCTAATACTTCAACAGTGTCGCTTGACATGGTTCGGAAAGCCCTTATCACGTCTATGCACTGTGATTATTGGTCTAGCATATGATTTTGTGTTAGCGCCTGGATCCATATTGCAGCCGCATACATAACTTATCTCATCCCCTTAGCTGTTAAAAATCGTCGGCTGGAACGCACACAGCCTCTATTTTATTTGCTTTACCCGTCGTGTTTTCCAAGTGCTCCAAGATACTACAGCTGTGGCTGTGAAGTTATCTGACATTCTCCTATGGTGAGCGATATTTTTTCTTCAATTTTCCTGGAGCTAATGAGCAAGACTTCTGAAGTCGGCCATTTCCCGCAGCAAAAGGAACTGTTTTAATAATCTCTGTGAGGAAACAAACGTAGACCCTTAAAGTACGGCGTACAAAATATGCATGTCAAAATTCAAGAATAATACCCTAAAGCGCATCTTTTATGAAGAATATCGTGGAAACATTATTCCCTAAACACCATCTGATTACCTATGCTAAGCCACGAACCGAAGTTGAAGAGCCACCGCTACTAGTTAGTGAAGAAGAAGTATGGGTCATAGCGGTAAAAATTATAATTAGCAAAGCGCCTGATATAAATTAATACCAAACAGAGCTTTAAAGGAAGATATGATTTTAATACCAAATGTGTTCGCAAAAATGTACACTGCATGCTTAAAAGAAGAAATATTCCCCGACCCATAGAAAGTTCAGCGATTGGTTCTACTACCTAAACCAAATAAGCCTCAGGAGAAAGCCTCATCATATCGACCTCTGTGCATGCTTGACACGATTGGCAAAGTGTACGAAAGCATAGTAAGAAACCGCTTGGAGTTTCGAATCCAGAAAGAGACAATACGGCTTTATAAAAAAAAAGAGGTTCACTATTGACGCACTAAACAATTTCGTTGAGACTGCGAAAAGCGCAGTAAATGGAAAAGGATGGAAAGGCGGGACTTAAGAATATTGCGTACTGATCACCCTGGATATGAAGAATGCCTTCAACTCAGAAAAATGGACAAACAAACATAATTAATGCTCGGTATGAAATACGCGCTCCTCAATATCTTGTAAGCATTATTATAAGTTATTTTGAAAACAGGCAAGTAATGTTCGACACTGATTAAGGTACCAAGAGCTACAATATTTCGAGTGAAGTACCGCAAGGCTCGGTTTTAGGCCCCCTTCTATGGAACGTTCTTTAGTGAGAGTCAATGTATAGATGATCTTATAGAGAGAGTCAAAAGCTAAGTGGGCATGGACGCTTGTATGTATGTATGTATGTGTATGAATGTATGTATGTACCGCTCTCTCGGCCATGTTCTACATATCAGAACATCACCAAAGTGCATAAAATAATGCTCATATTGTTAAGAACTACTCGGCTCCTGTGGTTCCAGTAGTCAAGACTGTTGCTCCAATCGTCCCAGTAGTGAAGAAATATTTCGCTCAATTTATTAACCCTGTTCCAGTCGTTCCAGTTGTGAAGAATTTTGAATCGATTCTTGTTTTTGGAAGGGAAATCGCGTGGTTAAGTCAAAAAGCACTTGGGTCCTATGTCAGGATGGCAACTTTAAAAAATTAGAGTAACGAGTTTCAACGGAGTCACACCGACGTTTGATAAACCACACTTAAGTTCTCCGAAAACGGTTGCAAAAAAGAATAACATGACAAAATTTCATGTTGGCATACCGCCGATCGCCCAAAATAGTTGATACGGTAGGCAAGTGATTTTCGTTATACGGAGGCTAGGGCAAGCTTTCACCCGGTTTTATCCATTTTAGTCACAAAGATGCAGCGTAATTAGAAAAACATGCTCTTTTTATTAGATATGTGGGGGCTAAAGAAGGTGGCAACACTTCAAGCTCTTAAGCTGTAACAACACTTCTAGCTTTTAAGCTGTAATTTTTTAGCTGTGTACATTTGTGTTTTTATTTTAAAAAATTCTTGAAGTTTAATTGATTTTTATTACCGTGTTAATACAAATTTTTAGTGATTAAACTCTCAGTTTCATGATAAGTATTAAATGTTTTGTTTTGTGCGGTATTAAAAAGTATTAAAAAGTTTAAACTTTCCAATTTTTGGTGCCGAGTCAGCCTTTTGTTTCATTTTGTTTTATTTTATTCTATTTTATCACTTTGTTTATCTTATTTACTTCTTTATTCACAGCTGTGTTGCGTTTAGCTTTTTATTTGTTACAGTGCTTCTAAAACTGCTCGCTATATTGCTTCTTCAAATTGTCTTGGTTTAAAACTTTGATAAAAAAAAATTGTTCTTAATTGAATTTATTATTATTATTGGTTCTTGGTTTTTATATTGGAAAGTGAAGTAGGTGTGTTTGTTATTTGGTTTGCATAAAGAGGTACTAGAAAAACTCCTTGTCAGCAAGTTTGGTTGATTTAATTTTGGAAGGTATGTACATTTAACTATTTAGAGAGCGGGACAATAACCACTTTTAGATAATTTGGAGCGAACGGGTGTACCTGGCTACTGTGATCTCCTATACCAAGTTACAGTTTTGTATCTTAAGTTATTGTCTCGTTATCCTAACCATTTACATATACATATATGTACAGGATCTACCAACAAGAATGACGTAAATTAAACACTCAAATTTGGCCAAAAAGGGTTCTTTTTTTTTTGGTAATGCAGATAATTTTATGTCGTTTATGATTTGAACAAAGTGTCGGCCAAAAGTCCACCACGGCTCCGTTTGCATATCTCTACCCGTTTACGCAATTTTCGATGACTCGGTGCAGCATTTCGGGTGGAATTTTGCTGTACAGCGCTCAATTTTGTCTGCTAGCGGTGCTGGTCGAAATGGCAAACCTTACTGAACACACTGACAGAATTTTACACAAATCCGTAAACAAACATGACCGTTACGAGCTGTCAAATCACGTCATCCCTATTGGCAGACGCTGTATATACTAGCAAAAAATTCCCCCTAAGTTACGTCAACCGTTCCTTCTTTATTTTTTGTCATTGACTCCCCTCCGTAGCCCAATGACGCCTACTTTGCATATTATGGTATATTGAAGACTAGCGGAGCGGGTCGCCGCTCACCACGCGATTTTTTTCTAATACTTACATTTTTAAATTCGTGATATCTTTCGAATGGAATGTCCGAAGCGAATAATTCTAAAAGTTGTATAAAGGCTTGAATATAAAGTAATTAATTTATATAAGGTTTAACATAATACCAAGAGCTTTTACAGAGGTGACATTTTATTATATATTTTTAATAAAAGAACACTTATTGCAAGGTAATTATAAGACTTGGGCATATGCTGTCGCGACATGTTCTGAAAAGTCGTAGTACATTTTTTTGTTCTATAATCAATAGTATTTGCAGGGCACACGATCTAAGGGATTTTAAGGTAATTTTTCTGACACCTTCGGTTACATTATTGACGTTTTAGTAGAAATTCCTAACTGTTTTAAAAATATTATATAGCCTACGTTCGCCGGATATAGCTTACCAACGGAGAAAGAATTATTCAAATCCGTCAAAAAGTTTCGGAGCCTATTCAATTCAAAAAAACAAACAATCAAATCTTTCCTTTTTATAATATTTGTATAGCAACTCCATATCTATCTCGATTAGTTTTTGGTGATAAAAACAACGGTTAGTTAACAAAACTATTATACTCTGTAGCAACATGTTGTAAGAGTATAAAAGTCGAAAGATAATTGTTTTTATAAATCAATTTTGATTTTATGAAAACTGAATACTTTACCTTTTCTACAATGCTTAGACCATTCTTTACAGAAAACATTTAGAAATATACATTGTCTCTATGTTTTCGCAATACGTAGGTTGTCTTTCATATTTCGGGATTCGACAATCCTATTGCTGCAATCTGGCAACTCACAACTTTATCTTAAAGTTTGACATTTTTGATGTTATATATACTCAGAACGTTTTGACATTCGAGCGCTATTTGTGTTGTTTACAGTTATTTAAAACATTAATCTCAGTCAAAAAATGGAATTAAATCACGAATAAATTTAAAATTAACAGTTGTTGTTGCTGTGCGCAAACTGATATTACAAGATCGTCATGTTACCTATCGTGAGATTTATACCTATAGGCATTAGTGGGACTAGCACAAATTCAATATTCCATGAAAATTTGACTGTAAAAAAATTATTATTTTCGATGAATAACCTTTGTTATTGTTCTCTGATCCCGAAATATAAAAGGCAACCCTCGTATTATTGTTATTGCGTTTAAAATAGCCTCTATTCGATATTATGCATTTCTTTCAATCCTTGAAACACTTCTCAAACTCGATTTTTGGCACAGCCTTCATAGTCCAAGAATTCACGAACAAGCAACGAAGTGTGATCGTTTAACAAACGAAAATCGCCAAGCTCATAAAAAGACGCCTACCATCTTATCAATAATGATAATGATAATAAAAAAATAAATTTTCACGTAAAGACAAAATAGACCTGAGGCAACACAAGCATACCAACGTTTAATCCAATTTTCCATTCCATTTTCCAACGTTTAATCCAATTATAAGCCTCAGTACCTTTAAAGAATTTTAGTTTTTTTGGTTTCGGCTTATTTTTGGAGCATTATATATAAACTCACGTGTCGCCACCAGCAATGATACGTTGGATGAATTTAAGGTCCTCATCTGTGTTGTTAAGCATCTCTTTTGTCACTTCTACTCGACGTTGTTTTTCCAAACGATCCCGGCCTTTTGGTACAAGTCTGGCATTGGCCCGCTTCATACCCAGGACATTAACAAAATGTGTTGAGTTGATCCACAAGAGATGCAGAGATCGCTACCGAAAACGAAATTAATTTTGAAAAAATTTCACAATTAAGTTTTGAAAACAATTTAAGTTTTGAAAAGTTATGAAAATGAACATTTTAGACAGCAGTATATAATTCTCAAAGACATAAGATCCTTACAAATCGACGATTGTGGCAACATGAACTTTGCTAAGGGCAAGTAGTAGCAGTCGCATAGGAGATGGTCGGAATGCTTGCGGAGGCAAGGGTGCCCACTGCCTTGCTCATCGGCGTTGCAGTTGCCAGCGATTCCGCTATGACCAGGCACCCAAACGAGTTTGATGATGAAGTAGCTTGCTGCTGTTTCTAGTGAACGAGCAATTAGCGAGCTCAGAGCTAGTATTGCTGCTCTGATGTCGGAGCGAAGGCTCACCTCCCTGAAAGAGGCTGCACTTCGTAGTAGTAGTAGTAGGGAAGAGCTTAATAGAAGGAAGTGTATAAATTGAAAAATGGGCATGACACCAACAACATTTAGTGAAATCTTATATCTAAGAACTATCGAACTAATTTTAACGAAATTTACTTACGTATTAAAACATTTTGAGAATTGTTTATTTGCATGGTTTACAGTTAAGTTGGAACGGATGATTTTTTATACAAAACCATTTGGCGCTTAGCACCAAGCTCGACATCAATCAAATTGCTTATCATATCTAATTTGTTGTTGTTAATGAGAGACGAAAAGTACACGTTTAAAAGCAAATTATATAGGCAGAAATAGAAATCTTAGGCTTATACAATACTTATACATAAGTGAGTAGTTGAATACATACATATATAGGAACGTGTGGAGTTAAAGAGCAACCGTTTTCTGTAACCGGTTTCTGCACTTCAAGCATTATTATTATACACACACTTCGAATGAATGGACAGCGGACAAAAATCTAATTGAATTATGTACGTACATACATATGTATGTATATGCATTTTAGAAGGCGTTGGATCATTCGTTATTACAAGTTCGTGTCATATACAAGTATGTGTTAAGTATTATTCTTCTCAATCGACTCAGAAGCAACACAACTTGCATTTCTCAGATAACTTCGATTAGGACACTGCAACTTTCAAGAGCAATAACTACCAATTTCTACACCCACATTTACATCACATCTACATCTGAGGGCTACTTCTTCTATGTTCCCCTAACGCGCAGATTTCGCAAACAGATATAACATACAAGTATTATGTCGATTTCCAGTTTCTTATTAATTAATTTTTGCAAGTATCTGGGTGTATAAACCATTAGAATGAGAGAATATGAGCATGAAGCCTATATTTTACCTGTTGGCTTAGCTACTGTATTTCATAATTATATTTTCAATATGAACAATTTCGAAATTGGACGGAAAATAAATCGATTTTGAAACGTAATTCGAAAAACGGAGAAATTACTTTTTTTCTTAGGAGTGAATATCTCTAAGAAAACTTAGTTTAGTCCATAGTATATGGTTCAATTATTCGCAAGCATTTCCCCTATATTTGTTAAAGGTGCCACACTTTGAAGTCAATGAAAGAATATGATGGAAATTATAATGGCGTAGGTGTAATTTGATTTATTCCATTTCATAAGGGAATTTGGTCAATTTTTATACCGATATACGTATAAAGCGTTTTCCGACTAGGTATTCATGAAATGCTCAAACGAAATGCTTAGATTAAATTTATATAAAGCTTAAATAGTTTACGAAATATGTACATTAAACCCAATAGATGTTGTGGCCACGTCCATACACAAATGCTCTACATCTTCACATTTTTTGTGGTATTCAAAAAAATGTTTAGAAATTAATTTCGAGTGCGACCATTAGGACACAAGGCTGTCCGGTAACTCATTCGCATGTGAAAGAAGCTGCTTGACCTCATCATCTATATGAATGTGATTTTTAGAGTACTTCGCGGTACTTTTAGATTTCTAGGTTATGAGAGGGTGCGACGACCGATGGACGGAGCATTAAGTCTTCCATTGTGTGCTGTCTAGAGGTTTTTCTAGTGTGATTCAAATTATAATTGCATAAATTTTTGTGTTTGCTTCAAGCGCTTCTTCTAGCATCATTCCTGTTGGTAACGAAACATTTTCAATAATATCTGCACCATATACAATGAATCGATGGAGGCATGTAAAATCACGCGTACCAAAGCGTATGCCATTGGGGTAACACTACCTTTACTTTTAACCAAAACATTATACAATAGCTCGCATAACTATTGCAGTTTCCATTTATAAGAGCTTTTTGTGTAGCCTCCATCTATAAAGAAAGCCAAAGCTTTGTGTCAACAATTAAACTTTTAACTATATTTTGAAGTCAATGCAAATTCTGAGGCCAACATTGGAAGGACTTGCGAAGCATTCCTTTTTCCAGCCTTCGCGCGCTGCTGCCATTTACTCTTCGTGTGGGGTTTTTATCAACGACAGATGAAATTTTTTTGTTTGGGTCTTAATTGCGCACTCTGAAAAAGTTTTGTGTTTACGTTGATCAACGACTGCTTCAGAAGAAGTTAGATCGTCATCTAACCATTGATTATTTCGCTCTTAAGACAATACCATGATCCAGTCACTCGTTTTCCTCTTATCCACCAGTTTAATAACCAAATTTCTTAATTGTTTTTGAATTTGTTGGCATTGATCTTCATTAAACTTTGAGGAATCAATAACAATAGAAAACACATGATTTTCCACCGCCAAAAATTTGTTTGTGGCTACTGATTCGCTGCAACAATTTAAAAAAGGGTGCGTTTCGAGACTGACATTGTATCTAAAAAACTCCAAAAAATCAAAAACTTGCAAAAAACTGCAGCTAGTTTTTTAACTTGATATACACAATATAATAAATTAACAAACAAATCAAACACCAGGGCGCAGCACCCTATTTTTCTTCCACAAAAAATTGGATTTCATATGCTGAAACAATTTTTCACACGGAGCGGTAAAATAGCGCGATTAAGCACTAAAACACATAAGCACAGATCACCAACACATTTTTTAAATTTAATACATACCTAATTATTTCAAATAAATCACTAATCCAAATAAAAAATTTTATATATAATATTTTTTGTGTGAGAACAAACTCTTCAAGCGCATTGCCAGAAGATGACCAGTGGACCGACAGTAGGCATTCATGTGGAAATCAGTTTGACATTGATTTGGCCGATATATCTATTTCCCTCGATATATCGATTTTCCGATTGTTCCAACTGCTTAAATCTAACTTTTACTACAGTCATACGATTGGTTGGAATTAGTTGTGTCACGCTTTTTAGTAACATATGTCCAGCGATCAGTCTATAAAGCAGAGTAGTCTCCCTTTAATGCTTTTACCGTTAGTATGTCGCTTCTAACTTGAAACTTCACATTGATCCCAATTTCCGGGAAAACACGAGGTCAACATGCTAATATTTTCGGACAAGTTGCAAATTTCCATTATAGTCCGGCCCAGTGTATATCTAATGATATTTTGGTTGAATATTCCACATATAATGGACTGTGCATTAGTGCGGTCTGACCAAGGCTTTTGGTCACACTGCATTTATTTGCGTTCTTCTTGATTTGACTATAAATTCATGATTTCTAACAATATTATTAACTAACCCCAGTTATATAAGTATTTTATATTTACTAAAAATTAAAAAATGCGGAGAGGTTTTGTAGAGTGAAAGCTTATATATTTATTTAACAACTTCACGATCACTGAAAAATGTTTAGTGATGAACAATGTGAGCGACTGGAGCAGCATGGACCACTGGCACCACGGGAGAAACAACCGACTTCACAACTGGTACATGATGAACAACCGGGGCGGAGTAGGTCTTCACAACTGGAACGACTGGAGCAGCGTGAATAACTGGAGCGGAGTAAGTCTTCACTACTGGGACGACGGGAGCAACAGTCTTGACTACTGGAATCACAGGGGCAGAATAGGTCTTTACAACTGGAGCAACATGAACCACTGGAGACACAGCTTTCACAACCGGTGTAACAATATGCGCATTACGGTGCACTTGAGTGATGCTCTGGTGGGAGGTGGCTGAGGGAATGGTGTGTACAACGGCACCTACTTTGGCAACTACTGGTTCAGCGATGAACCCGGGAGCAGCGGTGGCAAATGCGAAGAGGGCGGCGAAGGTAAACTGTATTAAAATTTTTTATTATATTATCATTGCTGAATCCAAAAATAATTATAACTTACATATTTGAACATTTTGCTCTTTTGGTGGTTGTGAATGTTTACTACAAGAAAACTGTATGCAAACTGATATTTTTCAACGTCTCTCGCAGCATATTTATAAGAAGTTTTTCGAAAATACAATACTTAGCATAAAAAGCTTATTTTATCATATTTTATTGGCCTTCGCTATTTTTGTTTAGTTTTAACGGTATATTTGCTTAAGTTTGTTGCAAATATCAATGCTTGTATGGCCGGCATTGAACTTGAACTTTTTTACTAGACAAACATTAAGCAACCACCAACAACCAGTTTTTACGTTGTGCTGTTTTGTGCAACAATATTTTGAGCAAAAATCCAACGTTATTGGCAACGCATGTGTTTAGGTGCTACGCCCCTTTCAAAGCCTATTAGCAACAAGTGGCGGCGTCAGCAGTTCGCATAAGTAAAAAAAGTAAGTAAACTATAGAAATAAATATGGAAACGTAGAATAGGAAAATACTTATTGACAGTGATGGATTAATATGAAAAATATGCGCTAGACAAACCTTAGACGCCTTTGAGAAATTTGTATGTCAAACTTTTTAAAAAGTTTCAAAATAATTCGGTAGTTATCAAAATATAAAGAGAACACGTTTTATAAAAATAGCATCAATTTATAAAGAATGGGAAGATCAACAAAACAATTTTTCGGGTCTTTAGCAACTTCTTTTCATTTGTATATGAATTGTATTAATATATCAACTCATTGCAACAGCAGTTATAAATTATTTACTCATTTGATCAACACTGGTCTATGCGATTTTTTCTTCAAAAATTACGAGTTCTCTACTAGTATAGCTAACTGTTGGGAGAACAGAATATACTAAACTCAGACGGTTTAGAATGGTTGACATTTTATCAGGTTATCATAAAAATTAAAAATTGTATACTTTTTTTTAAATAACTAATTCCTTTTTTATACTAGCTGTCTTCAATTCCTCATTCCTCTGCACGTTACCTTAGCGCGCTGTTTTCTTGTTGAAAAATTCAAAGTTTTATTTGACACATTTTAGACCAGTTTTTGATTATAGATGGCAAATGTGATAAATTATACTCAAAAATGAAAATGCATACATTTATTTTTATCGATCTGGAAATAAATTATTGTTTTTAATTGAAAAAGTAAGGCTAGAAACTAAGAGATTACTAAAATATTATATTGCCCCTCCCTAAAGTGATCCCGTATACCAAATAACAGTCTTGTATCTTATTGTGGAGCTTAGATATAAGCTTAGTTATGGCAATTTATTATTTTTTGATTAATGGCGTTTTGTGGGCGTGGCAGTGGTCCGATTACGTCAATACCAATCGTCTTACGGTACCAAGAAACATGTGTACCAAGTTTCATAAAGATATCTAAATTTTTACTCAAGTTACAGCTTGCACGGACGAACGGACGGACGGACAGACAGTCACCCGGATTTCAACTCGTCTCTTCATCCTGATCATTTATATATAGATAACTCTATATCTAACTCGATTAGTTTTAGGTGATACAAACAACCGTTAGGACAAAACTTTATACTCTGTAGAAACAGGTTGCGAGAGTATAATTATCAGTCAGATTGCGTAACCCAAACTATACAACACCAGCAACATGTTCAAATACGTAAGACCACGAATTGATTAATTTAAAATAAACTGTACAATTATACTCAAATTTATTCCAGCTCACATTTGCGCCCTTTTCGTGATTGCCACTGCTGCTCCAGGATTCATTTCTCAACACATTGTGGCTAAAGTGAGAGCCATTGTACACACTATTCCGTCGGCCACATCTCACCAGAGCATCACTCAAGTGCACCGTAATGCGCATACGGTGGCCCACATTGTTCACCACTAAATTTGTTAATTGCTTTTATTGTGGTATACCTTGTTGTTGTTAAAATTAATATAAAATCCAATATTACATTTTATTAGCTGTAATAATTACGTGCTTATAATACACTCTTCTATTCAGGAATTTGATATAAGTATTTTTTAATACCAACTTGAAGAAAATATTTTGGATATCACCTTGAGTGCCACATTCGTTTTTAATGGCATTTTAAGCTTGAAACTGAAACAGTCTCTAGATGCCCAGATATCAAAGAATAATGTTTATGAGTACGCTTTTTCCAATTGTCGAAGCAGTTCTCAAACTCGATTTTTGGCATAGCCTTTAGCTCTTTTAACGATTTTCCTCTATCTTGTGAAACGATCGCCTCTTAAGCTTGTTTTTATTTTAAAAAAAAATGAAAAAAAACACGTAGCTATGTTTGGCGAATATGGAGGATGGGGCATTGTTACAGTATTGTTTTTGGCCAAGAATTCACAAAGAAGCAACGAAGTGCCATCTTTTAGCAAACGAAAATTACCAAGCTCATAAAAACATGTCCAAGCCTTAGCGACTTTTATAGACAAAGTAAGCAATGAATACAGCTGAAAATTGTATCGTACTTCCGGGGCATGTAGTACCCGCAAAATTTTAATTTTAAAATTCCTAAAGTTTTTAAACACACCTAATAATAATCTTCTTTCTATGTAGTATTTATTATTGACATGTCTATTCTGAGATAAGCTTCCTGAATACAAGTAACTTTTAGTACAGGTAATTTAAACCAGTATTTCTAAGCTGAAAAATCGTTTAGGTCTATGTCAACCGATTTAACATTATAATACATATGAATATGTGATAATAACTACACACTGTTTATGTGGTAAGCTTATTACACCGATTATTATTCCGTTGTGATCGAAAAGAAAATATTGCTAACATGATGTTTAGCTGCAGTAAACTTCATAAATTATCTCGCCTAAGAAAATCCATTTTATAGAGTCCCATAAGTTCTACGAATATGGGATTTGTATGTTTGTCGATGTACTATAAAAACGATTTGTATTCTCCTTGTGGACATTATACACCACTACCAAGCTTTTATGCCTTAAGTCAATTTATCTCATTTGGTTTGTGGGCTAACTGTTTTAATTTATTTAGAATAATCAAGCATGTTCCATAAATCAAATAAAATTAATGTGATTTCGTTTTCACAAACCGAATGATTTCAATTAATTCGCAGTATTTTTATTTCACATCGCAACAGCTGTTTTAGGCAACTGACATTTGTTTTCAAGTGATATGTAAATATTTTATTTTTCATAAATTTAAATTTTCTCGAACTAACTTTGGTGCTGCCGTGAGAGTATTACAAAATTATGACTTCATGTTACAAAGGATTACAAATGGACTTTTAAGGGATAATACAAATATGTTTTATGTTGCTATTTTAATACTTTTATTGCTTATTTTATATTTGTAGTTACCTTTGTAACATATTCTCACCATTACACAATAATTCCACTTTATCTGCAACAGGAATTACTGTTACGTTTCAAAATGGCCGTAGGGAAAATGCATCGAAGCATCGTGTCGAAAGTGCTTAATTGACTAATAGTGGTTTCAGGGAAGAGATTGTATTTGTAGTGGATTAAGTTGGAAATTTATGACAATGACAACAAAAACTAAGCGATATTTCTTACTTGAAGTGGTTTATTGTTTTGATGACACGCATTTCAGATTATTACTACGGTATCGCAGTGGCTATTGAGTTCAGTTGCAAATTACTTCCCCAACATTTTTAGCCGTATTTTGTCTGAATGTGTCATAAATTTGTTGATCGGCTAATATCAACTCCAGCTAATTTCATTGATTCATAGAAGGTATGATTATCGAGTTGCTTCAGCCTTATTTAGCAAAAGTTGGACAGTGGAAGAAGAGTATCTAGATGTTTTCACCTCACCTTCCTCCATACACCTTTGACAATATACGGTCTCCAAAATCCTTCGTACTTACTTAGTAAGTACAGTAACGATTTAGAATTCCTATCATTGTCATGAGACGAACCTTACTAAGAGTAACAGTCCAGATCCAGTGCTAGAATGCAAAAGGCCAGTGGACCGTCAACCCAATCTTAAGAGATTAGGATAAGGGTGCCCTAGCTCAGCTCATCACGTTTGGAGTATCCAGCGATTCCGCTATGACAAGACACCCAAACTAGTATGTTAACGTAGTAACGTGATGTTATTGATGGTGAGATCAGTCACTCCTTGACAAACCTAGAGCGCACTGTCAGCGATACTTATGTGATAATTTCTTGATCAAATCCATTTTATATCATCAAGTATCATACATCCTAAATTCGTTAAGCATAAAGAACATATCGAACTATCACGAGATTAAGGCAACCACGCAAAGTAAATTTTTGTTGCAGGCGGATAACTCTCATTTTTGCAGAAAATTTTACGCCCTAACAGGGTCAAAGAATGAATGAAATAAATAATAATGAAATTCTTTTCTTAACGGAAATATCATTGTTATACGATATTTCTAAATTCATATTTTAAGTACAATAACTTAATACCTTGTTAACAATTGCAAAGAATTCGTTTTTTCAAATCACATTCTAAATAGTTATTTACTTAATGGTGGATGCTGTAAGCCACAGGTGAGACTACAGTTTTGACTAGAGGGGCTGTGTGGACCACGGAGTGTACGACCGGGGCGGCATGTACAGCTGGAGCGGCGTGGACGACTGGAGCTGAGTGAACTATGGGAGCGGCATGCACAACTGGAGCCGAGTGAACTACGTGAGCGGCATGCACAACTGGAGCGGAAATGGTCTTCAGAACGGGTGCTGCATGTACAACAGGTGCTGCGTGGACGACTGGAACAACTGGCACCTTCCTGACAAGATTCACATGGCTTTGGTGAGTTATGGCCGAAGAGGCACTTGTATCGACGTAGGCAGTTTTACCAACCAGAGCTGGTTGGACGATGGTGTGTGTTTGAGCGAGCAGACCAGGCTTGGCAGTGGCAACAGCGAGGAGGGCGAAGAATGCGATCTATATTTTTACATAAAAAATATTTTAATTATTAAAATTAGAAACCATGAAATATATGAGGAACAGTTCACTTACGTATTTGAACATTTTGAGATTAGATTGGTTGCTTGGTTGTCCGTTAAGTGGGAACTGATGATTTTGTCGGATCTGCGCGGCCTTTTTATACAAAACCATTTGTCGCTTAAGACCAAGCGCGACATTAGTCAAATTGTTTATCATAGCTTATTTGTTGTTGGTAAAGAGAGAAGAGAAGTGCGTTTATAAAATAAGTAATGAATAGGAAGGAGTAGAAACTTTAAATCATACTTATCACACAGCTTTGTGTGTATTCGGTAACTGGTTTCTGCGCATTAGTCTTTATGCATACGGAAATATAATTGACCTAGGTCTATGCAGGTTAGAAGGCATTACATTATTTGCTTTCAAAGATATGCTCTCAAAGATATATATATTATATATAAATATATATATATGCGTAAATATTGTAAATATTATATAATTCGGGTGGTTCAGTAATTAAAAGCAAGGAAATCAATTTTCTTAAGTTTTGACATTTTTTGTTTTCAATTTCTTGTTTGTTTGTTGGTAAATTAACTTTGACATACTCGTGTTATAAAATATTTCTTATGATAGTAAATAGTGTGAAAGACTTAGAGCAGAACCTATTCTTATAAATTTACTCAAAAATGGTAATGAAGGATGTATGGAAAAGTTTTCTGCAATTTCTATTGAAAATATGGTAAATCAAAAAGTTTTGTGTTTTTACAATTTTTCACATTTTTGTAGCATGAACAGGTTATATTAGGCTTGACACGAAATTTGTAATACCCAGAAGGAGACATTGGAGACCTCAAAAAATATATATACTTATTAGCGATCAGCGTGATATCCTAAGTCGATTTAGTCATGTCCATCTGTCTGCCCATCTGTCCGTCTGTATATACGCGAACTGATGGTCTAGTTTTTGAGATATCGATCTGAAATTTTGCACACGTTCTTTTCTCTGTAGTCGCAAAAAAAAAAATCAATAATAAAAAAAGTATGGTTTGATTAGTATCAGATTATAGAAATTCATAACCCAAACTATTAAGTCATAATAGTATAATTTATGTATAAATGAAGTAACTAGTAGAATTAAAAATTTCCTACCAAATTAAAGAATTGTTATTATAGAATTCGTATTTTTCAGCTGTTCTTCATTTATTCAGCTTCAAAATATAAAATCAAATAAATTTTATCCGGTTCTGATGGGAACCGTATTCCAGTAAGGGCGTTCTGCATCGACCGGAATAAATGGTAATCAGATGGCCAAAGTCTGCATCAAAAGGCGAACGAGGCAAAATTTTTCAGTCCCTATTTTTTAAATTCTTTGCTTTTAAATATGCTTGGCTGATATTAAACGTTTTGAAATGATAGCTTGAGTGACTCCCGAAAATTCTGCGACCTCTTCTTTTGTTTGGCAACAATCTTCATCGAATATGCTACCAGTTCTCCATCTTTTTTGTCTTCCAAGTCAACATCATACTTTTAAATCGTTCAAACAATTTTAAGCTAGACTAGAGCACATACATACATACGAAGATGATTGAATGATATTTTTTTCACATTAAAGTAATGGAGAAGAACTCGCCGGAAAAACAGTTTTTCATACCCAAAGTTCGACATATTTGAGTAAAAAAAGTTATTGTTGTTTACGCTTCAATTGAGTAACATACATATGTATACATAAATAGACGCACAAGGGCAGTAGCTTTCTATCGCATGTTCAGAATCTCGGTAAACCGCACGAATATAGTTATACTTAGGACCAATATTTACTTATATATAATATAATGCGATATATGTGTACAGCCAATAAATATGTATATTGTGAATATTCAGTTATCTTATTTATATTATCTGTGAAAATACTTAGGCATTTATGTGCTTACATTTACCTATTTCACATGGTCGAAATCCATAAGATTTCTTAGTAAGCAATTTAAACTAAATAAAATAAAGTTCATCTTTATTACTGTCCTAAATTGGAACAACATTTAATTAATACCATTTCATTGGCAGCGTATTTAATGAACGAATTCAAACACGAGGTGCGACAGCGAAATAACGATGCGATCGAAAGCTTTTGTTTATCACTAAGGCTTAAGTTTGTAATTTTATTTGCGCTTATGCAAGTGGAAAGATAAGACAAGGACTCCTCGGATAAAGAATATTGTGCTCTGCGCTAAATATTACAAAAAAACTATGTAAAGCATCGATAAATACCAAATGAGCTGAAATTGGCGAATTTCAACATTTGTATAAAGATGTAAGACGTTATCCGATTTTTTATTATTATAAAATATATGCCGTTACAATGCGAGTCGGCATTGAAAAACGCTTAAAAACAGTTTTCTTGCATTGATCAGCCTTACGCTCGGCTTCGTTCTACTTCCACTTTGCACTACCTTTGCGATATCGTATGAAAATATACGCATACAGTTTTAAAGCTCATTTCTCGCATTCGTAAGCTTTGCGCTTGGCTCGTCGTTCATCGTCTGCATGCAGCTTGAGCTTTAATTTTCGAATAAAGTACATTAAACATTATAGGTTTAGTTGAGTGAGGTTCTCAGGGATCTCACTGGGCCATCTTAGAGCGCCGGTCTGCTGTTATACCCAAAACTCCTATGTAATTGATTAAAAAGGCCCTCATAGATCGACGAAGACTTTGAGCGTATAACAAAATTGTTGAGGCGGCTTATGTCAGTTTCCTGTTTTGTCAAAGGTATGATTGCCGAGCTGTTTCAACCTCAGTCTTACAAAAGCAGAAGGATCTCGCATTCGCACAGAACCTGGTCGTCAAATTCAAGATGCCAACCGAGATCCAACTCGTTCGCATTCCGATGTGAACGGGTAAGGTCGCCCTTCATATAAGCTTATCGGCTTCGCAGTTTTCAATACTTCCTCTCTGACCAGACACCCAAACAAGTCTGATAATTAAGTAGCTTGATGCTGTTATTACTGAGTAAGCGCGCAGTTAGCAATCTCAACGCTAGACTGCACTTCGGGGGAGTACGTTTACTGCTACCGTAATTCGGTCCTTACAGAAAACTCCTATGTACATACGTATTTTAACTACACTTAGAATCATTTTTGATTGTTGCAATTTCTTTGTGAAGTCGGTTATGGCTGTAAAGTTCTGTGGTTAGTTTTCCGTATCTACTGTGATTTAGCAGCAGAGAAAATAAAAAATGTGTAAACATATTCGAAAAAATTTATTAATTTTTAAACATCGTTGAGAAGGGCATTCCTTCTTAAAACGTGGAGTCACTTTAAAGGAATGTTGTAACTTGGTATTTTAAAAAGTTCGTTCCCATTAGCTTCTTATAAACACTAATAAAGAAATTTCTCTTTATCCTATAAGTTTTATTTTATATACAGTTTTCTTGTTAATTACAAATATAATGTCACTATTCTTCATTCTATAAAGCTTTCTGCAAAGCTTAACTGACTTCTTTGGTCGAAATCGAATAGTAGCATTTTGCGTTCTCGTCAGTTAAGGCAAAAACCAAAGGGCAGTACTTATAAATACGCTTCTCCAGTTAGTCTCTTAATGTTTGGAAAGACTTAATACACTACTTGTTTTCTGTAAGTGAGACCAGATTTGACATCTTTGCGTGGTCTAGGTCCTAGAAGTTGATGAACCAGTACCAGCTGGCAGTTGCTTACATCTTTTGACTGCTTTCCCGAAGAACGGCAGCCTGGAGAATCCGAGCCTCTTTGCAGCAGAAGCTGTCTGTGAAATTCCACTGCTTCATTTAATTTCGCCCTGGTTTAATCTTTCAATTGTTGTTATCCTCACAAATTTTGCTACTTTTGGTAGACTAACGCAATGAGTCACACCTACCATCGTCTTGAACGGTGAAAAAGGAGAAAGACACCTGCATACATATCCATATACCATACAGTTTAAAGACGTATTTACAGCGTCTACCAATTGGGATGACGTGATTTTGACAGCTAGTGGCGGTCATGTTTGCTTATAGATTTGTGTCGAATTATGTTAGTGTATTCAGTAAGGTTTGCCATTTCATCATGTCACGTTTCACCTTGGTACAACGCTTGGAAATTTTCCTTGATCATAACGCAAATTCAAGTTCCCGGTGGCTACTGTAAGAGCTCTTCTTGGAAAGCACGGCCCATTTCTTTAACAAACAAAATTGCCGCTTTCACGTGTGGTTCAGGTAATTGCATCCTTAAAAATGAACCATTTAGTGTGGATTGTGATATGGCTACACCATCGGGCTTTATTTCTTTCGAAGTGAGGCAGGAAATGCCGTTGCCATCAGTAGCGAGCTTTATAACACGATGTTGACCGACTTTTTTCCCGTAATTCGATGAAACCGACGCGGACAATCTCTATTTCCAACAAGACGGTGCGCCGCCTCATGTTTCACGTCTAAACATGGACACATTGCGTGCGAAGTTTGACGAATCGTTAATTTCGAAAAGTGGCCCAGTCAAATGGCCGCCAAGATCAAGCGATTTAACGCCGCTTTTCTCTGGGAGTATGTTAAATCAAAGGTTTACCCCAATCAACCAGCAACGCTCGAAGAGCTCGAAGACAACTTTCAGTGCACTATAGCCGAAATTCCAGCCCAAATGCTGCACCGGGTAAACAGGTAGATATATGCAAACGGAGCCGTGGTGGCAATTTGACCGAAACTTTATTCAAACAATAAATCACATAAAATTAACTTCATAACAAAACAAAAAAACAAAAACAGAGCCCATTTTGACTAAATTTGAGTTTTTATTTCATTTTAGCATTACGTCTGTTTTGTTGGTAGACCCTTTATATATGCATGAACGTTTTGGCAAACAAAGTTGGTGGCTTACATAATCAGGCCATACAAATTAACTTTATGCCAGCAACAACAAAAAGCCAATACTAAAAAAAATAAAACTCCTTTAAATGCGAAATTGAAGAAACAAAATTAAGGCAATAAAATAATCATTAAAATTAACAGAGAACAAAAGCACTAAAGAGAGATTAATTTCGCTTTTGTTACCGTTTGATGTTGCATTCAGCAGATGTGATGGTGGCGTCAGTTGCAGTTGTCAAAATTATAGGTTAATTGTTTAAAGGCAACCTTGACATAGGGACATATACATATACACTTGTACTTATC